GCCAGGAAAGCACTTATTCCATTGAGCCATCTCCCTGGCCCAGAGATTTAAAATTTAATATCATGAAAGTATCCAGATATAAACAGGCATTTTATATTGCTACACATGCATAGTCTGTTACGTGTTAGCATGATCAGCCAGTTGGAAATTCAGCCCAATCTCCTGAGAAGCATTTAACTTTTTTTTTTTTTTAGCATTTAATTTTTTAAAAAAGTTTAAATTTAGGTAATTGATGGTTGAATCAGTTTTACCTAAAACCATAGTTTTCTCAAAATGTGCAAATAAAACCACAAATAAATTGTTTCTATTTAAATTTATTATAAAGAAAACAATAAATTATATAGAATTTCAAAACGAAATGATAGGAAATCAATAATGGTTATTGTATTGCATAGTGTTACTTTCAAAGAACTGCTCAGTTTACCAGATTTAGGCATGTAAGACTGATCAGACAATACAAACACTAAATGTTCCTTTCAATGACCTAATCAAAACTAGCAGTACCATTTTCTTAGATATCGTGTATTCCTTCTTTTCTCCTTTTGCCATCCTGTTGTTTCATTTTGAGCAAATTCTTTTTTGTTTTTTTAGATGTATTTAGTACGGGGTCTACAGGGTCTACAGCGTCTCAATACGTAGATTGGACTCATAGTGATCCACCTGTTTTCAGCCTCCCAAGTGCTGGGATTATAGGCGTGCACCACCACACCCAGCCTCAGTCGTGCCTCAGCGCACCCCACGGGCGAGGCCGGCGTGGCACACTGGGGATTGAACTCCAGCCTCTGCACTCTGCCTAAGCAGGCACTTTAATCCGCTGAGCTATTTGGCCAGCCATGAAAGTATACTGATGTAAGCAGTATTCTTTTACGCTATCACCTTGTAAATAGTACCATTATGCTATCACCTTGATTCCTTGGTGACAGCCAATGCTGAATGTTTTTTCATATATTTATAAGGCATTTGTATTTCTTCTTATGAGAAGTGTGTATTCATCTCTGATGCCAACTTTTGGAGCTCTGAATTGCTTCATTTCTCTGTACGTCTGATTCTTGTCCTATGCTTGCAGAAGTTTCTGCTCATACTTCTGCAAATAGTCTTTCTATGCTATTTGATTGACTCTTGCTTTTTCTTGACACCTATCAGTCTTACACTGTTTTGGTTTGCGTCGTCTTGCATCTGTTGAAGTGATACTGCCTGATTCTTTGTCATGTTTAAGAGCTCTTTCCTTTCATGATTGCTAGCTGCGATCCTGTCCTCAACGTCTGAAAGTCTGTCCAAACAGTTTTGCCAGCTTTCAGTGGAGTTTTTAAGATCTTGACTATCACTTTGAACTGTTGCACACATTCTAATTCTTTCCTATAGTGTTCATTCAAGGATTCCATTATTTTCCTGTGCTCCTCTCTTTTTTTAAAAATCTATGTCTTCCTTAGATATGCTCAGCAATTCTTTCATTATAGTTATCATTTCTTTTTATACCTGAGAAGTTTTTGTCTGACCTGATTTCCTGTGTAGCCACATGGAGTTGTTTCTTTACTTCAGTTGTTATCATTTCAGAACTTTCAGTGTGTGACATGCAATATTGCTTCTCTATGTTGATGTCTCCTGAACTTATTCTGAGTGGGCTGGAGGTCTGAGATTCCATTGTACTTCTTCATCTTGACATTTTCTTTCTTTCCTTTCTTTCTTTCTTTCTTTCTTTCTTTCTTTCTTTCTTTTTTGACATTTTCTATTTTTTAAAAAATTCTGTTTTTCAGGGATATCTTCTGTGTGTAGGAGACTTTTGGTTGGTGTCTGACCCATGATCCTGCCTCCCAGTTAACTGAGCAGAATGCTGGCTTCTGTTTGGCTCTGTCCCCCGTCTTTCGGCATGGGGTATTGTGAGGTTATTACCCCAGAGCTTCCCAGTATTGTTATACAAGGGAGAATAACTGGTAACAACCGAAGTGACATTGTAGAGTACAATTAGCAATAATGACAGCATCAAGCACAATTTAGAACCTGACAAACTGTGGTCACTATTGATGTGTACTTTAGACCATAGGAGCAAAGTCTATAGCTATATAAGAGAATCAATCGTAAATTAGGAGTTTGTATGCAAAGTAGGTCCCCTTGTTAGTGGGGGTTTGCTCTAGGTTCCTCCAGAAAAACCAGTTGCTGTGTCCTCCCAGGTGCCTCGCACGCTTTGGGCCCACCCTGTGGTGTGGGAGGCTGGGTCAGGCATCTGGGTTTCTCTCCATGGAGGCTCCCTGGGTGGCAGGGTGATAGTAGGTCAGATGGCTTTCCGCCCTTGTGGCTCAGCACAGCCCACCCGGGCTCTTTCAGTGACAGAGGGGCAGTAGGCAGTCTCTGTCTTCCCTCGCAGTTCAGGGTAGCTCACCAGAACTCCCTTGATAATGGGGTGACTGATAAATTGATTCTAGACAGATAATTTTAATATAAATAAAATAGCCTTATTGTTAGTTTGTAACCTTTGCTTTGTCATGTTGAGGTCCATATTCTTATGCTCTTTCTTATTTCTCTAAAAATACAGTCCTGAAGTATTGAGTAGATTTTATGGATTCTATTAAGATGTGCTATAATTAAAAAAAAAAAAAGACTAAACATCTTTGCTTTCAGTCTGATTTATTATAATTTGCATTCTGGTTCCTGTGGAGACCACATGTTCCCCTCAGAACTCTTAGGTTAGTGAAAAACAAAGGTGGCCTTCATGGTAGGGAAGCTTGCTGCCAAGCTCTGGAGCCTATGGTTTGTGTATAGGTGTCTCCCCAAAGCTTCATGCAGTCTTGGGGCGACCTCTGGAGTTTGTGATTGATTGTGGGTGTGGATGCTGCACCTGCCTGTGGGGCAGATATTTTGCAATATAAGGTGGGAAGAGAAGCCAGCTGCTTGAGCTGCTGCTCCCCCTCCCTTGTGCTCTCGCTCTTTGCTGCCACCATGAAAGGTTGCCCTCTGCTGTGTTCTGCTCTGCCTTGGAGCCAGCTGAGTGTGGACTGAAACCTCCAGTAACTGTGAGCTAAATAAACCTTTCCTTCCTTTATTTTGAGTGTCAGGTATTTGTCCCAGCAACAAGAGAAGAGTAACTGAGACACTCCGTGAAAGTCACCTTCTGGGTTTCAGTCTTACAGTTCATCTGTCAGCTGTAGATGGACTTGCCTCTAGGATGGCACACAGGAACACCCATGTCTTGTTTGACCCTATAATTTGTATGTTCGTTTTATAGCTTGGAAGGTAAGTGCTGATAACAGGTGCTCTACAGTGCAGTTATGCCTGCGGGTGGCCACCGAGTCAGAGCCTGCATTCCCCAGCCATGAGCTGGGTGCTTGTCCGTACACTGTGAGTGGTGGTTGCACGGGTCAGATCTGGGACAAGGTCACATTTGACATCCTGCTGTGCCTTTTCCTGCATGGAAGATCTAGATGGGCAAAGCAGAGGGGGAGACACCAGGTATTGGGGCTCTGGCCTAGGATCATCTGTCTCCTGCTTGGGGATACTATGACAGAATAAAACACAGACAAGAGATATATTTTAGGTACAAGGGATACCAGGATGGCCAAAGTCCAATGGCAGGCTAAGACATGAGACACCAGTGTCCTTGGGGTTTTTTAGGTGCAGAGCTTGATTGGGGGTGTGCTGGTGGGATGTAGGAAGTAGGGGAGATGAATTGCTACCATGACCAAGGTTTAAGAGTTGAGGAACGTGGGGCCGGGGAGACGGCTCAGTAGAGTAAGCACTTGCCTGGCAAGCGCAAGGATCTGAGTTCAATCCCCAGTTCTGAAAAAAAAAAAAAATGAGGAATGATGTATTTTTGGAAAAGTGCATAGGAGCAGATCATGGTTAACTAGTAGTCTGATTATCTGCTAACTAGACCACTGAGCTAGAAGAAATTTGCATGAGTCTGTCCTCAGCTGCCGTGTTACCTTGCTTTGTGGCACCAGAATTTCACAGACTGTTAGCTAGTCTCAGTTCTGGCCATTGGCTTAAAGATTAATCTGTCTTAAACCAGCTAAGTTTTTTGCCACAAATCATATAGGCCTTGGACGGACTCTCAAGTTTACTTTTATTATGCATTAGTAGTAATTACTGCCTGCTCTGTACTGTATCTAGTTGATCCTCAGAAACTGGGGTCCCTGGATGGTTATTTGGTGCAAAGTTGCCTGCTAGTAACCCCTCACTGTGCTCTGTAGAGTTAGTCGAAACTGAATGCCTTCTGTGTTAAGCCACTGAAGTTTTGGGGAGCCTTGTTAGCGCAGACAGCATCTTCCTGCAGAGGACAAGCTGTGATACAGTATGAGATTGGGAAAGGAGAGCTGTAGTCAGAAAATGTTAGAGCACCTGACCCATGGATGCGTAGGTTTACAGTTCTTGCTTCTCCCTTTCTGTACCTTTCTCCTTTGTACTGTCCTTTGCTGATGCTAGTGATCCTCGCTGCTACAATTACTGAAATTCTGCATATATTTTAAAACATAAATAAATAGAAACAGTCTTGACCTCAGTACATTTTATTGTTGTTTTCTGAAATGATGCTATAAATACTGTACAAAGTAGCAAGTGTCGGGCTGGTGAGATGGCTCAGTGGTCTAAAGCGCCTACTTGGAGCAGGCTTGGCAAAACACAGGGACCGCGGTTCGATCCCCCAGCGCCACATGCCAGCCCCGCCCCCTAGTGGGCTGAGCTGGCCACACACACACACACACACACACACACACACACACACACACACATATAATTTTAAAAAAAAAAGTAGCAAGTGTCATTTGGAGAGCAGAGGCAAAAGTGAGAAGTCCCTTTGCTAAGTCTAGCCCCAGGTAAAACTGGGGAGTAAGTGTACAGCTGGGGGCCCACTCAGGCATCCCCAGCCTCCATGCTGTCCCACTTTTCTACTCAGGGTTCCTTTGGAGCACAGTATCCCGGAGCTCTTTCCCTGTTTCCCTCTCAAAATGTGTTCTTGTTGTTTGGAACCCGTCCTCCTCCTTCTGTGCTCCGCCGTGAGCAGCAGGCTGTGTACTGCTATCATTTGCTAAGCCAGCTCTCTTTTATGCATTAGTTATTCAGTACGTGGTTCCTCTACCCAGCAGGCTCTGAGCTTGGGCCACATACATAGTTCTCCAGAACACTGAAGGAGTAGGCCGCCTTTGGGTGAAGCTAACCTACTGGCTTGTGGAGTACCTGCTCTTTGCAAGACCTGCTTTCCAGTCAGTGCGCTGTGAGTCTTGTCTCATGCCGAATGCCCAGCTACACCTTTGCCCTGGAGACCGAGGGCACTCGGACTTAGTTGGGAGCTCAGCTCATTGTCGCTAGGTGAGCACAGAATTGAAGCAAGATTTATAAATGTTTTCATCGGAAGCTTCATGCTTCATCGGTCTATGCGCCGTTTTGTTTGTGAAGGCTTGGAACCCTCAAGCAGGTATAGAACAGCTGCTCCCGGAAACTAGGCCTGAGCTTCTTGCCTCCAGTGGCCACTTGTCTAGGTGCCTCCAATTTAGGCTGCAGTTTTTGATTGCGTCCCTCCTTACAGGGACAAAGAACCATGGTCCAATTGGATTTGAGGCTTGCTTTTTCTAGTTATTACTAGACCTGTGGTTTGGGGCAGGTTAACCTCTTTGTGCTTCGGTTTCTTCATCTTCTCCTTAGGAGGACTGAGTGAGACAATGTAGCTGGGGTGCATGGTCCGTCACTTTACTACTACTTAAGTGTTTATGGTCATCACGGTTATATAATGAAATAGGGCTTTGGAAAATCTACTCAGTCCTATTACTTACTCATTGCAAGGATACTGTCTGTAACATGTTTTTTAGTATCTTTTTTTTTTGTATTTTAGGGAAGGGTCTATAGGGTGTCCAGGGTCTCACTACTAGATCGAACTCACAGTAATCCACCTCTTTACAGCCTCCCAAGAGCTGGGATTACAGGTGCGCCCCACCACGCCCAGTCTCAGTTGCCACCTCAGAGTGCCCTGGGGACGGGGCTAGCATGAGCCGGCAGGCCTGGGGATCGAACCCCCGTCCTCTGTGCCTGCTTGCAGGTGCTTTAATCTGCTAAGCTATTTGGCCAGCCCTGTAACATGTTTTTTTAATAAAACAATGAATCTTTAGATAAAAGTTTCACAGATTTTCTTCCTGTGTCACAGTTTGACTGCTTTCCAGGAGATGAAGCAAGCTTGACTAGATCTTACTTCCATGCTCTTTCCATGCTGTTGGCCAGGTTGCTTCTGAAGAGGGCTCGTAAAGCTCCTTGGCTTAATTCATCATTTTTCTGATGAGTGTTATGTTTAGTGTAAAAATGTATAGGCCCCACTCTAAATATTCCAAAATATGATCTTTGGATATAAGGTCCAAAGATCAGTATTTATTAGTATTCTCTAGGTGGTTTCAAATGTGCAGCTAAAGTTTGCAGCCTCCAAGCTAACCCTTCAGTGTTACGTAGGTTTTTGTTCTCTTCGGTCCCTTTTGTTGGCCTTCTCCAGCCTTGGGCATCCCACACACTCTTGACTGTTCAGCCAGAGAGCAGCAGTGAACCCCTAAATTTCAGTGGGTGAGCTCAACAGACCTGTATTTCTAGTTCACATAAAATCCAACGCCTCGTCCAGTTTACAGAGGGTTCTGAGCTCCCTCTACTCTATACGCACTGAATATCAACATACTGTCCTTGCGTGGCTTCTTGATTTTCCATACCAGGGAAAGGACGTGTAGGTAGAGGGACACACTGGCTCTTAAGAGCCTTCCCCATCAGGACAAATATTAGCCAGCACTAATAACAGGACTGTATCTATCACATTGCGGAGGACACTGGCAATCTGGTAAGTATTAAATTTTTATTCTTGCCCAGCGGTCTCTTGAGTTCTTCATAGCCCCTAGAACCTGATATATGATGTATACACTTACTTGTCTGCTTGTACCTTCTAACTGAATTTAAGCCTTTGAGCTTATAGCTCTTTGCTCACTGTTGTATCTATGGTGAGGATAATGAAGCCTGGTAGTGAGGTTTCCATAAACATTTGATGAATCAATGAATGGTGACTCCAGACACAGGAGAAGCCACTGCTGAAGTATGTTATGAAATCTAATTGTGTGTCAGTCTGTTTTATAACCTGTACTGCTCTCCTGAAGCTCATTTAAATGTTATTGAGTTCAGTGAAAGGTTAAAGAATAACGGGCCAATTAAGAAGAGAACGTTGTGTGTGGATCACCTCCTGGTACTCATGAAAAGCGCTGACTTCTCGGTTCTGCACTCCTGCAGCGATCACCCTAGGAAGGGGCAAGTGTGGTCAGCAGAGAAAGATGCTTTCTGAGCTTTAGCTGAGGTCATCAGTAATGAATTTGAGTTGACAAAGCAGGTGATGTCACCGTGGGCCTATCGTCTGTCTTTGCTGAGCTGAGCCTGTTGTATTTGTATAAGACCAGTTTATTGAAACTGATCTTAAAACCCCAATGAGATGGAAAGTTCTCCACATGAGTAAGTCTTGTTATTTTGAATAAAATCAAACTCACTTTAAAATGAAGTTTGATATAAAATTGCTTTATTTTTTTTTCCCAAAATTGTATTGAGAAACAAATAGCAACGAGACAGTTTCAAACCAAATTGGTAGGACAGTTTCAATAATTAACATAAAGTTGCTTTAGAGATAGGCAGCATTATTCATGATGAAGGCATCAGCTCTGGAATAGGGAAGATTTGGGTTTGAATTCAGCTCCTGCATTTGACTGGCTTAAAATTTCCCAAGCCTCATCTTTCCAATGTTAGGAATAATTTCTGCTCTCTAGAATTATAATCACACTTGAACTGAATGATATCTGAAGTGCTTAGGCTGGTAGAAGACCTGACACACTGTAAATGGCAGTAATCATTCTTTCCTTCTGTGACTGGGTTGTGAGTAGTCTATTAGCCGCAGCTAGATGGCTGGGTCACAGTTGTGGGGTCTTTCAAGGACATGGAGCACGTGCAGCAGCAAGCCTCGTTGCGCTTGGGGGCTCAGTCCCTGGCCCTGGTGCTCGCTGGACCTGCTCTGCGTTAGGCCTGCGGGGAGGAGCTGCGCTCTGTACGTGAGCCAACCATCAGCCCACTTGCTTAACATTCACGTTCCCCAACTCCATCTGATACGAATCTCATCTGTCAGAACCTTCCTCAGGAATACTAGTCCTCCTCATGGCTAGCACGTGGCTTAAGTTCCCATTCTGGTCCGGTGAGGTATGGCCAGCTAGCAAGATGGTTTTCTCTTGGCCCAGGACAATGCCCAGGGCAGAGCACCTATGCAGAAATAGCCGTCAGAGTCCCTTCTGTGGAATCAGGACTGAACAGTGTCCACATTTCAGGTTTTGCAGCCTCCTCTTCTCTTCGTCCCAAAGCAAAGCACTGCATGTAAAGGAGGCCCAGGCCCATGATACTTTTTATGGACAGCTACCTTCTGAACAAGGAGATCCTTCAGAAAGAATATTTAGAGAAAAGTCAGTTTTGTTCCCACAGTGAACATGGAAATTGTTAAGAATTCATTTCTTTACATAAAATCCCTCAAAAAAAAAAAGCCTTGTGTTTTCATTATAAGCTTTCAGTTGTCGTGCAGGAAGTGAGCTTCCTGTGCTTCCAATTCAGGTCAAGCTTTTAGCTGCCTGGAACCCCTGCAAGGTGGGTGGACTGCACCAGTCAGGAGGTAGCAGCATTTTGTCCCTTCATAAGGAGCCTCGTTTGGTACATTGTGCTTCATCTTCTTTGTCCAAATATCCATGTTTTCAAAAATAAACATGTACCAGTTCACTCCAAAAAGCCACATAAAATATTTCAAAAACACTGGCAAGGTATTGTCATCCATGAAATAGTGTACATTTTAATCATCCTTTAGGGACAATGAGGTAAAGATTGGCCCCATAAATACTACTTCACTCTCACCCGTGATTTGAAATGAGTCTTCGTGTTTCTGCTTTCTCAAGATATTTAAAATAAGTTATAATGCAAAATTGCATTCATGGGTCATCATGGGAACAGCATAATGAATTTCTATATAGCGGCAGCAGTTTGACAATAATATTTGTTTTTCTGCTCTTGGAAGACGCATTTTAAAATGAAGTCTTAGCCACCAAGATACCTCTAAATGTGTCTCTGTGCATCGCTAAAAATAGAAGTATTCTTCTTACATAACCATAGGACTATTATTACAGCTAATAAATACTTCAGCACCATCAAATTCTCAGTTCATATTCACATTGCCCTGATCTTCCTCCTAATGAGTTTTTTCTTCACATGGTCACTTTTAATTAGCCAGTGAGCAAATTTCTCTCCACTTCTATTTTTCCACTGTATTAAATATAATAAGAACGTAGAGCATGGGAAAATTCTGTGCATGTTATAGGATAACCAGGCGCGCTACCCTTATTCTAAGTATTTAGTACAAATGCTTCCAAACGTACAAACTGCTTGACTGGATTCTTTACTGCTCACTCGTTTGCATGGTTCTATTTTGGTTTCTCTTCTTGACTTCTTGGCAACCAGGATTTGATGGTCTCGAAACCCTGATTCTGCGGTAAAGTAAAGGAATATCCTGTGAGTTCTTTTTTGGTGGAATTTTCAAACAGTGTTTGCAAAACAGGTGGTTTACCGTGTTGATTGTGCAGCTCATAAATTTTGAGAGCATCTTTTCCAACCAGGTAGCACCTGGGAGCCTGTACGTGTCTGTGTGCCTCACAGTTCTCTTGGGCATCCCCGGAGCCGTGCCAGTGGAACCACCGTTGTGGCTTCAGGGAGAAAATGAGGAGTCCCCCATCTAATACTGGAGCTGTTGGAACACACAGTGTTTACACCTTGTGCGGTGTCAGCTGTACTTCAACATTAGCCACAAATATCATGCAAAGGTATTTAAAAAGGAGAAAAACAAATCTGTTTTTTAAAGTGTTTTTCTGAGGGTTGCTGCTGTTGCCGTGGAAACCAGAGAAGCAGATTTCCATGGCTTCATTGCACTGAGCCTGTTTTTGATCAGATTCCTAAGAGGGTTTTTTCCCCCCCTTCTCTCATTGGGGTGGTTTTGTCAAACATAACCTCGCCTGCGTGTTATTAACATATCCTTTGTGTGAAAGCACATTAGGTGCTAATGCTTGGAGTTGTTTTTAGCAGAAGAATTTAACAATACAGGATTCATTTTTCATCTGCATGTTTTTAAATAGACGTCCTGTACTTGATGTTGAGGGAGAGCTCAGCTTGGAGCACAAGGAAATGTTAGTTTAATATTTTAGTGCCATCTGCTGTAAGTTTCATAGCATTCTATCCCATCTGGTTTGCTTGTAGTCTGCCTGCCTGCCT